TTTTTTTTTTTTTTTTTTTTTTTTCTTTTCCAGATTGCTTTCAGTTTATTGAAGTAAGTCAGAATCCACTTGTTGTTATTATTGGCCACAACAGTACAAATGTCAAGCTGCAATGGGAGTTCATGCAGGTGATCATTTTAACAGTCTGGTCATCAACAGATACAAAGATGGTCAGGTTGATTCAAAGGTGGAAATGGCAAGTTATTACTCCAATGGTTATACCAAGACTAATAATGACTCTCTGTATGCTCTAAATGCAAGTGGTGTTTCACCCAGAGGGTTTGCCAGCTTCTTGATAAAAAACATACTTGTTCAAGACCCTAACAAAGATGGCACCAAGTTCGATCCCCTCGACCCTGATGTAACATATGTATACAGTATTACAGTTACAATTCCAAACCTGAGACCAACTACCAGGGAAAATAGAATTGAACTACAAGTTAAGGGTAAGTTATAAATTTACTTGCTGACCTTACATAATAGCCTCTTTTCAATATTTCTGTTAGGTGGTCATAACAAAAAATATTTAATTTCGAGTTGAGGCTGTGGGATGCAATGTACTGTAACTGTAATATTCTTTTGTTTTGACGGAGCCTCGACTCAAATTGTCTTACTCAAGCAGAATATCAAAAGTTAGCTATTGATTATTAATTCTACAAACGCTGCATGAAGTGAGAGCCAAACTGAATAATCAAGAAAAGTCTAATTAAATAACAAATTCAATAAAATAAGAAAGACTTACAGTACTAATGCAGAAACAATTAAACATAATGGAAACTAGTTTTGTTTCGGTGTGAACTTAGCTTGATCCAACGTCTGAAGAAATGAAAATTTACATAGGAATTCCAGTGTGAATGTGCATGTTTATTAAGCCTTGTTGCGACAACCTTATTACGTATGCAAAAATCCGGACCGCAATTGGAATTGGAATTTGGAGTTCCAGATTGAGTTATTAGATGACTTTGATCAGTATGGCATAAATGCTCTGCCTTAAATGCCTTTCAACTGGCACTGTCATTCGAAATTTTCCCAGGTAACCCAGTCTATCCTGCCACCAGGGTCTTGTTAGCGGGTTACCTGTGGTAAACAGGTCATAAAATACCTTCTCTTTTCTGATTCCTTCCCGACAAAATGGACAAATTGCGCAAATAGTACCCAGAGGTCTTCAGGGCCTTACCAAAGAGACCTTTGCGGACTTCTGCTATAGGGTTCCAGTCTACAGCCCGGGCAATTACCTTGAAACAGCTGTCAATCAATGTCACTATGTTGCCAAGTGATTATGAAAGGACGGAGCTAACAGACACGTGATAAAAATTTATGTCTATACGCATGCTCTATTTTGTTGGATACTGTAATAGCGCAGCGCAGCCGTGACGTCATAAAAACGAAGACAAAGGCGAAATTCGGACAAACAAACTTACAGGTTTACTTTCAGCAGATAATTTTCACAGCCGATCGCAGTTGATCTTAGTTTACATGGGTTRTTATTGTAACTTTAAGTAAAAATAATAAAATCGGTTCGTATAATCAGTGCGATGTGCTATTCAAGACAGCGCTAGCAGAACTAGAAATATTTATGAACCATCGTAATCGTAAACAATGATTTTAAGCAAGGTGTTAATGACTCCTAAGCGAGAATTTCTAAGAATCACTTCAAACTTCATGGGCAATAGATTATTTTGGTTAAYTATTCATGCTTTGATTAAGCTATTCAAAGCAGTATTTTCTGTAATCGAAGATCAGTACTAAGGGATAAACTAGTCATGTTAAAGAACTACAAGCATGATCAACGGCTTCAACTTTTAAATTATTTTGCAAGCTGACGCGATTCTGATCACTTGATGCTATATTTTAAGGTATTTTGGCTGTGAAAGCTACTACAAATAAAAACCAGGTACATAAAAGTTTATTTGAGTTTTGGTTTTGTTATTATTAAAGGACTAATAAAATGATGAAAATAAATTTCTAAGGCCTAGGGCAAACGTCGAACTTTCCATGCACCGAACTTAATTACATCAAAGAATGCCGCCTCATTATCACATGATATCCATTGTTTTTAATGAGTTCGGTGCATGGAAAGTTCGACGTTTGCCCTAGACCTAAAACGCGTTCATTTTTGCTTATTAGAGTTGCGTGACGACACTAATAGTGGTTGCGTAAAAGATTAGTATCAAGATCATCGATAAATCAGTGACTGCCAAAATTCACGGGTCCACGTATTAGATTAGGCTACATCCCTACATCATGTGATTTGTTATTGTGTGCCCACCATTAAAGACTGCGTGGTACAGCGGACCTTTCAAATCTTTACAGATTTCTCTAAAATATGATCTATATATTTTATGATTTTAAATCGGCAACATGCATGATTTTAGTACGGTTATGACGCAACTATCTTATTCAACTTAATTTCAATCCTTCCCAAAATCGCTGCATTTGTCTGTGAAGGTTGTGTAAATGGGAGTGTCATCGAGAACCAAACCATCACCTTGTTGTGTAATGCTACTGGTAAACCCATACCAAACATCAGATGGATGAAGAATGGAGAATATTACGATGGAAGTAGTTCAGTATCAAGTTCAAACAACGCCCTTGTCTTCCAACAAGTAGCAATAAATGACGAAGGAAGCTATACCTGTATTGCTGACAATGGGGTTGGTAATCCAGACAAGAAGTTATTCACTTTACTTGTTAAATGTAAGTATGAATTTAATATAAGCAACATATAACTTCTCCGATGGCACTTAGTATAAATTACGTCAGTTTTGTTTTCTAATTAATAACTGTCATGGATTCAAACCCCTTTGATGTTGGGGATTTGTTCACCGATGTATTCTAAAAGCAATGCTCGAAATATTATTGTTGGATTCCTTTAGAAATACTACTTACCTTCACATATTTATCTATTGTTTTCTAAGATTACTATATAAAACATAAAAAGAAACATGTTGTTTGTTTTAAAAAACTGTTAGTAATGTGCACGCAATATTCATGTGATCCATGCATGCGTCCCGAGAATCAACATAGAAATAGCGACGTTCTATATTCCTTGAATACTGGTCTGAAATGATATATATTATCAAGCTTGTGTAATGCATAAACCATGCACTGACAAAGTGCAGTTTTCATATGACTGAAAAATTCACGGCACGAACAAGGCCATGACACGGCAAAGGATACGCCAGACCAATCACATTGCACGATAATTTACTCTCCAATCAAACCGGAACAAAGCATAAACACGGCGCGGACACGGTCACGCCAAGGTCATGGCAATGCCAGGCCAATCACATTGCGCGAGAAAAAAAATCAGCCAATTAAAATTCTAGAAAGCATCACGGTCACGGCACCTCACGCTTACGGCACTGAGCTTTTCACAGCCATACGAAAACTGCACTATGCTTTCAAACACAATGCATGTTGAAGTTAACAGTCATTTCTTTTTTGCACAATATACATGGAAGTGTTAAAGCATAAGTTGTTATTGGTAATGGAATTTGTAGACTTGCTCCCAGCCGACCTCTCCGAGACGCACAGAGCGCGAAGTATAGGTGAAAAAAAAAAGCTATTATGGAGAGAGGTCGTCCTTCGTCCAGCGCGTGTGATCCTGGTTGGGCTGCCTGTGCTTTATTCAGCGCGCGTAAACTAATATGGAGACGAAGGACCTTGCGAAAGTCTATAGAATTTGGTGTAATGGAATTTGGGAGGATTTGGTAAAAATGAAGAAATTATGTTTTATTTCTATTTTTTTGGTCGCAAAGGGCAAACTTTGAAAATCCTATCGCACATGCACGCTCCCACCCACTTAAACTCCAACTCATACTTACATTTCATATATCACTTTACTGTGCATTAAACTATACGTAGGTTTTTTCTTTCTGTTTCCGAAATAATGTAAGTTCACTTTGCTGTAGATATATAGAAATCATTTATAACTCATATATAATGTTGTGTAGACTACTACTACTACTAATCTATTCATACAATCTCATGTAGCGAAGCGAGTTTTATGTATGTATGTGGTGTCTCTGGGGATTGATTGGGTGTTTAAGAGCAGACCATGCGGCTGGATCGAGGATCAGAAGCTCGTAGTTAATTTTTAGCGGCAAACATTCTGAGGGAATATAGCGAAGTTTTATTGTGAAGCACCCTACTCACAAGCTGGTCTGAGCCAACATAACTCAGAGAAACTAAAGTAATTAACAAAGAGAATTGTTACACTCACTTCAGATAAACCTAAAGATACTTTGCTCTGCCCAAGTAAGTTGGATGTATGTGAGAACAAGGTCATTAAACTTAGTTGCACGGCCGATGCATATCCATCAGTCAAGAACTACTCGCTGTACAATGGTAATATTTACCTTGGATCAAGCAGCAATGGACAGTTTACTACAACAGCAACACCATTGGGATTGAATAAGTTTTGTTGTGTTGCTTCGAATGAAATTGGAAGTAGTCAATGTGCCTTTTCTGATGTATACCTAATGGGTAAGTGAAATGATACGGTGGCTATGCATACTACTTTTCCATACTGTAACGATATTTAATGGCTGTCATACTGCATGCGATACATATCAAACGAATTCATGTATTCTAGGTTTTATTTAGTGTTTTTTTATCGGAACTTCCTTTGAAAATTTCAGCGTAGATGCCTAGTCGGATACAGCTCTATTGTTTATTTTCTTTGCTGTTATTTTTGTTTTTATCTTCGTCTGTTTCGTACCCCTTTCGTAGTGTATGTCGTTGTCGTTGCATGTTATTTGTTTTTCTTTTTATGTTTTGAGACCACTTATTCACAGCCCTCTTGTCTTCCTTCATTTTTTTTACTTTTCAAAACCCTTTTCAATACCTTAATTTTTTTATTCGCGATAATTGAAAAATTTACAGCGGAGCCCATAATTTTGAACGAAAGTTGAACAAAATAATAATAAAGATGTCGATGATGATGATTATGTTGATGATGATTTAAAAGTTCAATAATAATGACCAATGCTTACTTGCAGGAGACATAACCACTCGGTGTAAAATCAATAACAAGAATACATCAGTTGCAGCAGTAAAGGAAGGAGATAAAGTAGTTATGCAGTGTGACGTATCTGGGAATGAATCATACTACATGTACCAGTGGGTTAAAGTAAAGGACAGTCTGTCTGTCAGGAATGATACATGGCAATTAACATTTGGTTCAATAAACCGCACGGATGAAGGTTATTACCAGGTGACCTTGCGAGATAAACTAAACTGCTCATCACAAACAAGATCTTTTAACATCACTGTCAACTGTAAGTAGGATTTTATTGAACTAGTCTTTAATAACGCTTGTCATTAATATCATTAGCCAGAAAACACCAGCATCTTGACTTTTCCTGAAAAGAGAGTAAAGATAATTTATTTCTCACATTTTTTTGGGTCTTCATTCAAAAACTCACCAACCGTCCCTCCGCCTGTCTGTCCTTCCACCTATCCATCGATCCATCGGATTGATCACTCATCCGTCAATCCATCCCTTGACCTACGAATCCATCCATTTATCCATCTATCTATCTGAAGTCCATTCATTCATTAAAAACTATTTATTCATCTTCTTAAAGATGAATAAACAGTTTTTAATGAATGAGATTTTGATATGTTCAGTTTTATCTTGTTTGAATTGTTTTTAGCGCGTTCCATTTTGTTCAGTCGGTTGGTCGGTATGTCAGCGCCACCTTAGAGAATATGGAGGGTGATGATGTTCAACTAGTTTGCAGTGCTAATGGTGACCCACCACCTGATATGATGTGGATAAGAAATGGAAGTATTCGAGGCATGGGGAGTACGTTGGAGATAAATGGTGTATCAAAAAGTGATGGTGGAAAATATACATTTTTGTCCAACAACAGTCTTGGTTACCAAGTAGAGAATATTTTCGTAACAGTGAAATGTAAGTATAAAGAACTGAGAATCGGTAATCGATAATCGGTAATAGAGCTGGGTTTATGCAATAAACACCGACGCATAAAAATCATTTCAGCCTAGGAAATTAAAGTTGTTCCACACGGACACACTTATGCCAAGCATTTTACTACGGTTTTAACAAATCAAACAAGCATTCATGTAGCTCTTTTGATTTTCTAACTGGTAACCGCTTGTCAGTGATTCGTTCGAAACAAATATCAGTGAATGAAGTATCTGCAGGATTAGGAAGAATAGGAAGTTCTGAAAACTAGAAATGAAATTAAAGGCATTTTCATCCTTGAGGTTCAAATTCATGGAATTTGATTGGATTTGCTTTAAGGAAGCAGTCTTTCCTCTTACTTTTTCCATAATTTCTCTATTTCTAATCGATCTTTTATATACACTTATTTAAAAAACCTGAATTGAAAATCGAAATTCTACTAATAATAAAATGCCTGGAGTTATACTATATCCTGCGTTACTTTATTTTGCGTAGTGAAAATCATAGCACCAGAGATAACGAATCCTTATAAACAAGTAATATTGGTTGATGAGGGAAAAGACGTTAGCATTGTTTGCAATGCCATTGGATACCCAGTACCTAATATCACCTGGACGAAGGACGGCACTGTCATTGGTGTTGGACGAATATTCAATATAGCACGAGTAAAAAGGAACGATTCATCGTGTTACACGTGTACAGCAGATAATGGTATTGGACACGCCAAGAATGCCAGCACATGCTTAGATATACATTGTAAGTTTAAAGTCATATGCCTTTTCTCCAGAAAATAGGTTTCTTGTGATAAAAGACATTACGATTTGCTATGCCGGATAATGATAAAAGAAATGTTTTGTATTGCGAAAAATATTCTTAAAACAAGATATGCCAAGCCAATTTTAATAACTTTGACTTCATTTTTCCACTGCTTTGCATTGCAGTCTATCCCGGTATATTATACTGTCTTCTTTTTTACGCTGCTATTTATGATGTTTCATCATTCCGGCTCGAAAACTTCCTCTTAAAAATTTAGAGACTTTATTTGTTTTATATTTTGAAGTATTAATTAATGTGATAATTTACATTGTACAGATCCACCTTCCAACATTGCTATTCTACCATCGAGAAGGCAAATGATTCTAAAAGAGGGGACTAGTTTTTCCCTATATTGCCAAAGTGACAGCAATCCACCCCCGACTTACACATGGAAGCATAATGGGGGGACTTTAACTGATGGACAAAATGGAATACTAGTATTTAACAGTATCAAGCGAAAACAAAACGGAACATACCAATGTGAAGCGAAAAATCATCTTGGCTGGCTCCTTTCAGTCCCGATTGAAATCGTCGTTCAATGTGAGTAGGCATCGCGTAAATAAGCACTAATAAGCACAATCGCATCTTTTATTATTTTCTTATTTTCCACTTTAAGGGTTCTGCAATTGATCAGCATGTCTGCATGCATGCAAAGATAAAACCTGAACTGGTAGTGGTGTATAATCACTGAAGTACTTGCATGTTGCGGTTAGCGTTTACTAGTAACCTGAAAGAGTCATTATAATTGTTTCATGTTATATGTATTTTGTTTCCCCCTTAACAGACTTAGATCCTCTGGAAGTGATTGGATCAAGTAACAAGAGTTACAGTCAGTCCAATCCACTGGTATTGTTCAACCTTAGTATCAACGCTTATCCCAGTAACACATCCCTGTCTTGCAATCCTTCTGCACCGAATATATTGACTACTATCACCAGCCATGATGCAGGATTAAATGGAAAACAGTATTTGGTGGTGGTTATCATCCAGAATGATGTGGATAGTGCTAGCATTGTGTGTAAAGCTGAACATAGCGTCGGTATACGAGAGAGGACATTGGATTTTTACAGACAACCAATACGTGAGTAATGATAATGAGAATTACAAATGCCACTAGCTTGAGCTGATCCAGTCCTGATCAGATGAATTTGCTATAACCCATCATACCATATTTGACTGTTTTTCGTTTCTACTTTAGTTTTCAAGGAAACGTTTACAGGGCAGTTTAGAATAACAAACCAAGAATGGCAGGATGACCTTCAAGATGTAAAGTCAGCAGGCTACAATGATCTTAAACAGAAGTGCATCAAAATAGTAAGTAGAGTATAGTCATGTTCGTTCGTTCGTTCGTTCGTTCGTTCGTTCGTTCGTTCGTTCGCTGCATGGTCATTATTTTCATTAGTTTATTTTATTTTTATTTCTAGTTAGAAGCTGCATACTTAGGTGTACCATACTTGGCTGCCATAAAAATTAAGGATTTCATGTAAGTATTCTTCAAACATATAGTGCCTATAATTTCAGTAACTGCACTTATAATCGCTAATTAAGGACCGCCGCGAAATACAGCAGTAGAGCAGCTCACCAGGGTCTGTGCTATAGATCCTCTCTCCTTACTGAATTTGAGCACAGGATAACCTTGCAGTTAACGGAAAATCCACACGATATCTCCCCCCACATGAGTGATTTCAATATGTTATGGTTTAACTTGAGCAAAGCTGTATTCTTTTTATCTTTACGACTTTCATTACAATAGTAAGGGAAGCATCATAGTGCGGTTTGAGCTAGAAGTCATTGGTAAAGTACCTGATCCACTGCTGCCTTTGAGAGATTATATCAAAAGACAAGGAGAAGAGATCAATGGCTTACAGATAGACTACAACCGCATTCAGAAATCAAGTGGTAAGATGGTTTAGTAGCCTGTATTCGACTCGGGGTAGGCCAAGAGTGTTTTTACTTTTGTTTTACCAATGCTTTCATCGCTACTCGCTCATCAAGACATAGGTCGTAACTCGGAAATCGAACAATAGACTGTCGTCATTCAAATGAATCGCCCCATGTACTTTTACGTACTCTAAGGATTTATTTGACAGGTGCGCGATGCTTAGTCTATATTGCCTGATTTGGCTGTACCGAATTTTGTCTCGATATCGTGTATAAATGAAAATAGTGGTAAAAATCTGTGTGACCATATTTGTATTGTATTGTAATGACATAAATAACTCTTTTGTAGACTACGAAGAAAATACGCCGACTCCATGTAAAGGGGATAACAAGACACTAGTGGCAGTTCTTGGTGCACTGTTTGGTTTGTCGATTGTTCTGATCATCATACTTATAGTGGGGTTCCTGTGGTTAAGTAGAAAAGGTATGATACGTTATTTTGGGCGTAAACACATTGAACATGAAGGTAAAGATGGAAAAGGAGAAAAAAGATAAGATTAAAATTCTAATTTAATTATGATTTTTTTTCTGATTTTAGATTCAAAAGGAAGTTCTGGAAAAAAGTACGTACTATCTGAGACATTTAGATGATAAAAGTTCTGATTAAAACAATTAAATGTTAATATCCCCTTTTGCAGATCGAACACAAGTGACGAGATGGGAAAAATGGTAATTTTGTATATATATGTATATATAATATATATGTAAAGTATATTATCTAATATTATCTACGTGTTATTGTTTTTTGGCATGAAATTTGGATGTAGCTATTCATGTATTTTCATCCTATCCATGTATATTCATCCATCCATCCATCCATGCATCCATCTATTCATTCATTTCATCTTTGTTGCATTTTATTTCTTCGTTCGTTATATATTTGTTTCTTCTCTGTCTATTCATTCATTACTATTATTCTTCCTTACGTACAAAGAACGACATCTCACTTCAAGAGACAAGTTTTAATGCTACAGATAACGAAACGCCAAACGTGCCAGAATATGAACCAATAGGAAGGCGAGGATTATCGACGAGTAATGCAGGTATCCTTGAATATGAGCCGGTGACAACAAGAACAAAGCTATTCCAACCACATTCCGGTGTACAGACGAATATCCCCATGCCTCAGTATGAAAGTGCAGATCAACATAGACAGACAGGGACTGTTTCAAATCCACCACCACTCACCTATCAAACCCTCCCTCCCTCCCTCCCTCCCTCCCTACTTACCTCCCTCCCTCCATCCATCCATCCATCCATCCGTTCGTCCATCCATTCATTCAATCTTTGTTGCATTTCATTTCTTCGTGCGTTATATATTTATTTCAATAAAATTATTCACCTGAAAAGCTATAAAGCTGAGGCCGACAAGGATTATGGGTAGACACGTTTTACATGTTTCAAGCGCTTGTTAACTGTTGATGCACTTGCACATCTTTTACCAGTTACAGTCTCAACACTCCTGAGCATCCTCAAGCTGCAGTTTATATCAAAAAAGCTTTACTTCCATATGATCCTCRGTTATCTCAGCTTTCTAGGTTTTTGGTGACTAACTTTATTGAGATTAAGTATATATTTGTTTCCACTCTGTCTATTCACTCATTACTATTATTCTTCCTTTGGAACAAAGAACGACATCTCACTTCAAGAAACAAGTTTTAATGCCACAGATAACGAAACACCAAATGTGCCAGAATATGAACCAATAGGAAGGCGAGGATTATCGACGAGTAATGCAGGCATCCCTGAATATGAAGCGGTGACAACAAGAACACAGCCGTCCCAACCACATTCTGGTGTACGGACGAAAATCCCCATGCCTCAGTATGAAAGTGCAGATCAACATGGACAGACAGAGGCTGTTTCAAATCCACCACCAGTCACCTATCAGACCATCCAACATTGTACTGGTAACTACGATTCACTGAGTCCTTCAACACGGCTGCCCCATAAGAGTGCAGTAGTGCCATCCACAGGAAGCCCAACACGTACAGGAGAGTACCAGGCCCTTCAACACAAGGGTGTGTCTCCACAGTACCAGTCTCTGGATGACTTGAGCAAATGTTGAGTGAATATGGACCAAAAGAGAACAGTATTGATGAGACAATGTCTTATGCTTTTAAATGCTACTAATAGAGTAAATGATATGCGGGACATCTGTACCATTACTGATATCACACTCACTCCTCTTTGATAAAAGATACACTTGCAATTTTTATCACATTTTTCACTTTTTTTGGTTCTTTTAGACACATTGATCATACTAGACTAGTCTTGTTATAATCAAGTATTAAATATTATCAATCAAGAGTGAATAAGGACCAAACGAGAACAGTATTGATAAGGAATTGCCTTGTGCTTTTAAAAATGCTACTAACAGGGTAAATGTTATGCAAGACACATATTACTGGTATCCGTTACCTTTACTTCTCGATTATTAAAGATACACTTGCAACATAATCTGTTCACATTTTGCTATTTTCACCGGTTCTGTTAGACACATTGATCATACTTAAAGGCAGTCTTGTAATAATCATGTAAATCATACATATATATCATATGCAGATGCAAAGCTAATTAATTTCAGTACCAGGCTCCGATATTCGTCTTCGGCCAGTGATTAGGCAGCAGCCATAACTGACTATTAAACTGCTCTACTAGACGGACGTTCACTTGAAGATTATTGAACACTCGTAAACTAGACGAGAGTTTTTATAATCAGAAAAATGAACGGGCCATTGATTGGTATGCCTCATATATAACCAGCTTTGTTTATATCCTGTTCTGCATTCCAAATTTAGTGTAGATAATGTAGTGAACTGATGCGTGATTTGTTTAATCGTTCTGCGCAATATCTTTAAGCTAAGAAGTCCCAAGTTACATATATCCATGAAGTGAATTGAAAATTAGTATAGCGTGACCTCCAGATAGCTAAAAAAGTAATATATACAATATAAGTGGCGTGTTGCAACGATATTCAACGAATTCATTAATAATTCATGAGGAAAGCACAACAGAAAACATGACCGTGAAGAGGTTTATAATTCTGATGCAGAATCATGTTTATTTGCATAAACTTGGATTTTCTTTGCCAGATTCACTTTTATCTTAAAGTTTTCTTAGTGAAACACAAAGGAACTAACCTAGACGTTTGATAAGTAATCTACAGTATTCGTGTCCGTGTTGTATCCAATATACAAACGCTCGACTACGCCTCGAGTTTATGCAATAGATCAAAGATGAGTTCGAGTGTTTGATCAGGGCATCCAAATACCATGAAACAGATGCTTTTATCGTTTCAAGGTGTTTGGATGCCCTGATGATACACGAAGCACGAGTTTTTGACTTCTCAAACTCATTATAATTCATTTGTTCTTGAATCTCGTGAGACTAAAAATTCCTTCGCAATAATTCATTTATTCGTCAGTGTTTTGATCAGTGTCTTGATCCGTTTTTAATCCAGTATCAAGGTGCGTGCACGTGACCACAATGCAAAGTCGCCATTGGTCATTGACCTCATGAATTATTAATGAGATTGAGAAATATTGTATAAAACATAAATAAGAGAAGGAAGCCTCTTAATAACGCGCGTGCCATTTATGCACGGGAGTGGGTTAAGGCAAAATGTAGAATTGTATCCGGTGGCTAACAATAGCCCAACAGGGAATTTACATGGCGCGCGCGTTATTAAGAAGTTTCCTTCTGTTGTTTATGCTCTCTTGATATATTACATTATCAATACAATCCATTGTTATGATAAACCCTGTCTGC